AGAAAAAGCCCACCTGGGATAGATCCGTACAAGGGAGCCTTAAGGATGTGAGCACTCTTACCAAACCACTTCTCCCATTTCAAGCCCTTATGCTTTATGGACTATATAGTGTTATATTTTTACTACGCCCCAATAGAGGATAGTTTGAGCAAGACTAGAGAGATGGGTGAGGGGCGAGTCACCCAATGAAGCCTATATGTGCCCTAAATGGGCCATTAGGTCACCCAGAAGTTGCCAAGAGGTAGCCCAGATGCAGTAATACAGCTTGCCCAATTAGGCTCTAATTATTTTAATCGCCCAATAGATGTGGGTGATAAAATGGAACCATAATGACTAACTAAAAAGAGTCAGTCAAGAGGGGGGGACCACTTTCTCGATGATTCTAAGAAGACTAAGTCTTCCCTTAACCATTTTCTCGATGATTATAAGAAGAATAAGTCTTCCCTTAACCACTTTCTTGATCATGAAGGTAGTACATAACCACCCACTAACTTTATAACCTATGCCCAATAGAGCCTCTATAAATATCTCTCCCCTTAGGACAAAATCTAAGTCATATCCATCTTCTACTACCTAAAAGAGCATCATAGTACTCCCGGTAACCATAACACACGATTATCTTAACCGCCCGTCTACGATCCTTGTAGCATCGACCGCCAACAGAGTCTCTCACCTCACAAGAGCTGACCCCTAAAATAGCCTAAAAAACTACCACACGGGACTTCTCGCCCCTGTGAGCAAGCCCTCACCATCCAAACGTGATATATACCTATTAAGGCATCTGAATCTCCCCGCCCTTGCAGGAGAAAACGCACACTTGTACTTTTTGACCAGTACAACTTACAATTTTAATAAAAGATATTTGTATAGTGGAAGTAGAAGAAAAAAATATTTTATATATTTTATAAAAGTATTATTTAAAAAAATAAAATTGTTAGATTTTAGATTTTTTTTCTCATCACGAAATTAATTTTTCTATTTTAAATTCATATAATTTTGATATTTATTTTCTTTGAAAACTGATGTCATATATATTTTTAAAAGATGTGTAATTTATAATTTTAGACTTTAAAATTCCATATAATTTTTTTTATTCCATTTACAAGTTTTTGCAAAAAAAAATGTTCATGAGACTATTATTTTAACTATTTGTTATTTTTATTTATTACCTATAAAATTTTACTAAAATTTTCATATAATAATTTGTCACATTTTATAAATACACACATATTAATTTTAAGTGCAAATATATAAGAAATATCAAAACTGTTTAAATTTAAAATAAATAAAATAATTCAATGAATAATATAAAATAGAGAAATTAAACTGCGATTAAGTCTAAAGAATAATAAACAAATATTTATTTTAAATGACACCCCATTGGATAAATGGGGTAAAAATATTTAAAATATTTAGTTTATTTATTGAATAAACACTTTATTTATTATTTTTGGTAAAACAAAAGAAGCAAAGTGTCAAGAAATAAATAATTTTTTTCTTATATGAATAAATTTATTTTCGAATACCTTATTTAATTTTAATAATTTAATAATAATATTTTTTATAATAATATTAATTTTTTTATTGGGATAATATAATTTATATAAATATATATTATAATATAAATTCATATCTTTTTAAGTTCAAATTTTAATTGTTATAAATAAAAGTTTATAATTTTTTAAATATAAACTTTAATTTTTATGAATAAAAGTTTAATTTTTATGAATAAAACTTTATACAAAAATTATTTTTTTGTTAAAAAATTGTATTTAAATAACTATTTATTAAGACTTGTTCTCGAAGTTGATAAATTTAAAAATATTATACTATATTTTAATATTTATAAACTTATTTTATTTTATTTTTTCTAAAAAAGAGTAAATTCAATAATACATATGCTTCAAAAAGTAGTCAGAGTATTTGAGATTTTGGCAAATAAGGACAAAAAAAAATTTACGAATATTTTAAAGAAGAAAAAACTGAGAGCTGTTTCTTTGTTCGGATTATGCTATTTAAAATTTGAGCATTGTTTTTTTCTACATATGAATAGAAAAAAAAAAAAAAAAACAGCTGGTGGTGGAGTGAAGGTAAGCATGTAAGCTTCAATTCTGACTGAATTCATAATTGAAATTAAAAAAAAAAACGTTTTTTTGGGAATTATTAATGACAAATACTGAAATTAGTAAAACCTAACTAAATGGAAAAAAGGGATAAAAAGAAAGAATTTTTATTGATTATTTTATTTGGAAAAAATTTATAGGAATTTTTTTTACTTAAATGGTGTTTGAGGAAAAAATATATATATTGATGATGAACTCACTAAGTTTTTTTTAACTTTTTCAGATGATAGTTTTTAAATTGATCTAGGAGTTAAATTAGCATTTTTATTTATAATTATTTAATTAAATTTAATTTAAAGATTATGATGGTTGAATAATATATATATATATATATATATATATATATATATATATATATATATATATATATATATATATATATATATATATATATATATATATATATATATATATATATATATATATATATATATATATATATATATATATATATATATATATATATATATATATATATATATATATATATATATATATATATATATATATGTGTGTGTGTGTATGTGTGTTTGAGGTTGTGTTGTGATGGAGGAAGGTCAGAGAGTAGTTCAAACTATTGTTTTAAAAACTGTATCGGTCATCAAACCGGTGAAGCACCTGGGTCGTTGGTTCATTGGTCGAACCACTAGATCATTGGTCGAACCACATGACTAAACCGGATAAATTACCTGAATAAAGTGGTCTCTATAAAATAAACTATATATTTAATAAATCGGTCGAACCGAATGACTCAGTCTCTAAAAAATATCATGACACCTATAAAATTTTAAAATTTCATAATTTCACATGTTCATTCTTTAAACTCTGACTCTTAACGTAGACATCACGCATGACAAAATAGTATAAAATACAAATCCAAACAAATTTTGAACAATATCTGATTACAAACGAAGAAAAATTATTTCAAATATGTTTTGAATAAAGTCTACTTATATTTTAATTTTATTCTTAAAAAATAAATTATCATAACGGTGTCGTTATTATGAAGAAAAAAAAGACATGCATTTAAACTGTCGATTTTTTAATACCTTCGGTTCATCGATTTTTAGCGGCTTTGACCGGTTCTGCCCAGTTTCCACTAGTTCAATAACATATCAGATCCAACAATCAGACCAGACCGATGATCCTTTCGGTTTTCGATTCGACCGATTTGACTGGACGGTTTAGCCCGATTTTTAAAACACTGGTTCAAACTCCATACCTCATTTTCTCTCTAAGACTTATGAGATGGTTAGTGATCCTTCAACTAATGTCATTGTTTCATGGAGTTTTACCAATAAGAGTTTCATTGTTTGGAATCAACCTGATTTTTCGAAGCATTTGTTGCCCAAATTCTTTAAACATAATAACTTCTCAAGTTTCATCAAATAGCTTAATACCTATATAAGCAAATTTATTGTACTTCATAATTTTTATTGATTTGTTGTTAACTTGATTGATTCTTTTGCTAATGATGTTTGTTTATTTCCCCTCAATAATTGCCACTAAAGTTTTTTGATTGATTGAATAAACTGTGTTATGGTTTTTGGTTTGATAAGGGCTTTAAAAAATTCATATCTATGAATCTGTTAACTTCAATCGACTCATTTGAGTTTGTTTACTTCTATTAACACTTGTAAAAAAAGGAAAGTTTTTGAAATTTGCGTTTGACATCCTCGTAAACTATATAAAATGTGTTATAAAAATTATTTGAATTTATTTTATATTTTATTACAAAAATAACTTATACATAAACTTATATTATAATCCCTTTTATTAAGAGCGACTGATTAAGATTATCCAAACATGACATTGTTTGTTAAAAACGCTTAATTAAGATTATCCCCATAAATGGTTTTTTGATTGCTTGAATTGCGTTATGATTTTTGGTTTGATTAAAGAGTTGGATTTTGGAAAATAACTTCAACAAACAATTATTTATCTTAATCATTCAATTTCAAATTAATGGTTAAGATCGTTTTAAATTGATTTTGTTGTTGTGTAATTTAAACTATTTTATTTAAGATTATCTTCTAAAATAAAAAATTTCTAGTAATTACGTGCTTTTCTCGCAATAGAGATTCTTAATCCTTTGATTAGGGTTTTATTAAAATTAATCTTCGTGAAATTTGTTAACATATTTTTGGGTATGTTTGGTTTAGTTTATTTGAGTTTTTCTACTACCACAAACACTTGATAGTTGGGGACAACTTCTGAACTTATTTTTGATAAGCTCTCTAGAATAGATTGGCAAAACATTTTATGCTTATATGCAAATAATTTGACTTTATTTTATTCTTTGTTAGAAAAATAGTTTATACATAAACACTTATATATTAAATATTTATGTTATAAACGCTTAATCAAGTTGTTTATCTAAATAGAGTTTGTTGTGATGTTGTTGTTTGTTTTTTTAATTTATTCATTGAACTCTGTTATGGTTTTTGGTAAATAAGGACAAAAGAATTTATGAATATTTTGTAGAAAAAAACTGACAGCTGTTTTTTTGTTCGAATTATATTATTTATAATTTGACCATTATTTTTTTCTATTGCTGCATAGCAAAAAAAAAAGTAATCATCTTTTGGATTATGATTCATTCCCAGCTGGTGGTGGAGTGAAGGTAAGCATGTAAGCTTCAATTCTGACTAAATTAGAATTGAAATTTAAAAAAAAAAAAAAAGTATACTTTTTGGAAATTATTGATGACAATTATTGAAATTGGTAAAACTTAACTGAAATAGAAAAAGGGGATAAAAAGAAAGAACTTTTATTGATTATTTTTTTGGAAAAATTTTATTGAGATTTTTTTACTATTTAAAAGATTTTGAGGAATCCCTTTATTATAATTTTTTTTAGGTTTGAGGTTGTGGTGTGATGGAGGAAGGTCAGAGTAGTTCAAACTCCATACCTCATTTTCTCTCTAAAATTTATGAAATGGTTAGCGATCCTTCAACTAATGTCATTGTTTCATGGAGTTCCACCAATAAGAGTTTCATTGTTTGGAATCAACATGATTTTTCGAAAGATTTGTTACCTAAATTCTTTAAACATAATAACTTCTCAAGTTTCATCAGACAACTTAATACCTATGTAAGCAAATTTAGCATACTTCATAATTTTTATTGATTTGTTGTTTGTTTATTTCCTCTTAATAACTATCATTAAAGTTTTTTTATTGATTGAATGAAATGTGTCATGGTGTTTGGTTTGACGGGGGCTTTAAAAAAATTCATCTCAATGGATCGGTTAACTTCAATCGACTCATTTGAGTTTGTTTACTTCTATTAACATTTGTAAAAGAAAATAAAAAAAATTTTGAAAACTGCGTTTGACATTCTAGTAAACTATATAAAATGTTTTATAAAAATTATTTGAATTTATTTTATATTTTATTACAGAAATAACTTATACATAAATTTATTTTATAATCTCTTTTATTAAGAGCGTCTGATTAAGGTTATCCAAACATGACATTGTTTGTTAAAAAGACTTAATTAAGATTATTTTCATAAATGGTATTTTGATTGCTTGAATTGCGTTATGATTTTTGGTTTTATTAAGGAGTTGGATTTTGGGAAATAACTTCAACACACAATCAATTATTTTAATCATTCAATTTCAAATTGATTGTCGAGATCGTTTTAAACTGATTTTGTTGTTGTGTAATTTGAACTGATTAGGGCTTTATTAAAATTAATCTTCGTGAATTTGTTAACATATTTTTGGGTATGTTTGGTTTTGTTTATTTGAGTTTTTCTACTACCCAAACATTTGCAAGATCGATTGTTGGAGACAACTTTTGAACTTATTTTGAATAAGCACTTTAGAATAGTTTTCAGAACAGTTTATAGCTTATATGCAAATAATTTGACTTTATTTTATCCTTTGTTATATAAATAGTTTATACATAAACACTTATATGTTAAATGTTTATGTTATAAGTTGTTTATTCAAATAGAGTTTGTTATGTTGTTGTTGTTGCTTGTTTTCTAATTTATTCATTGAACGTTGTTATGTTTTTTGGTTGATTAGGGCTTTAGAAAAGTTGATCAAGAGCAGTGGGAATTTGCAAATGAAGATTTCGTAAGAGATCAACCACATCTTATGAATAATATCCATAGGCGCAAACCAGTTCACAGTCATTCTTTGTCTAATGCTCATGACCAACGGGCGGCGGCTGCTGGTGTTAATGCTGCTCCATTAACAGAATTAGAACGGAGAAATTTGAAAGTCGAGATAGAAAAACTTAAACACGACAAAGAACAACTACTTATGGAATTTCATATGCAAGAAGAGGAGTCAAAACAAAATGAGATGCAATTACATTACTCAAAGAATCGTTTACAAAAGTTAGAGATGAATCAACAAAGTATGCTCTCGTCTGTTGGTCAAGTGCTGCAGACATCCAAGGAAGAGGTAGGTCTCCAGTCAGTAATGGTAAACATGGGGAGAAAACGAAGGTATATTAGAAATAGTCCCTTTAATGATTTAGCTAGCATTGAAATTCCTTCGAAAACTTCTGAAATGCCATCTAGAGAAAATGATGAGAGTGTGTCTATTCTCTCTATAAACATGGAACAATTGGATCTGCTTGAATCATCGTTGACGTTTTGGGAGAATTTTGTAAATGATGTTAGTAACACATCTTTTCAAACTGATTCCAACTTATACTTTGAAGATTCTACGAATTGTGGACATAGTCCAGTAGTGTCTTATGTGCAACAAGAATTTGAAGTTCATCCCGAGTCACCAGGAAACAACATGAACTCTCTACAAGATTTAGTCGCTATTCCTGATCCTAATTTTGTTGGACTTGAGCCACGTGATACCTTTGTTCATGATCTTATTGCACCAGAGCCAGCTGTTATTGTCGTTTTTGATTCTGTTGCACTTGAGCCAGCTGTTATCGATGATTCTAACTCCGATGCACCGAAAGAACAACCTGTTGCAGCAACCCCAGTTAGTACGGGATATAACTCACCATTTTGGCAAAAATTCTTGGTGGATAGTCCGGATTTAGATGAATCAGAAAAATCTTAGTGAACTTAGCAAATTTTGTTGGAACCTTAAGAATAAAAAACGCTCTCAAATTAATCAAGCATAGAAAATTTATATTTTGTAGATGATGTTGGACTTGAGCACAATATACTAAAGCATGTATCTAGATAATCTTTGATGTTCATTGATTAGTCATCATTTTATTAGTTTTGTCTTTTAATTTTAAATCATTATTTTTTGTACTTCCAATAGCTCATGTAATATTTGTGACTTTTTAGTATAAGACTTTCATCTTTAGATTTTGTAACAAAATATTATGTGATTGAAACCTTCATGTCCAAATGATGAAACCTTCAAAAGAGCACCAAGAGCTTCTCATGATTAACGTCAAAACTCCTAGGACCAAGTCTAGACACTCACACTTGCCACATCTAGAAATTCCCACTTGCCACATCAACATCTCCCCAGTTAGTTTAATCTTGAATTATTTATTATTTGATTTATTAATTATGTGAAGTAGATATTATTGCCTATGCTGGCTAGAGATATGGTTAAAACCTTGAACAGTTAGTTTAATCTTCAATATTTAGTAAGGTTAAAGTTTTTAGTTTCTAAGAGATTAAGATTAAATATTATTGAAATCGAAGCATTGAGTAATATTAGGTTTAATGGTAGTTTATTTCAAGATTGTAAATGAGATCTACAGTTAGGCTCCCTTAGCATTATTAAACATTATAATTTACTAAAAAATTCTAGTCAAATAATTTTCTTAATTGAAAATTCAAACCAAATCAGACCTTTTGTTCAACTTAGTTATTATTATTTTTTATATATTATAATTTCACTCTTTATATTATATACTAGACAATACAGAGAAGTATTGGAATAATTAAGAAGAGAGAAGAGGTAATATAAAGGGAGGAATATATAATTATTAAAAAATTGGAATAATTAAGTTTTTAGAATAAAAAAATGTTAGAGTAACTAGAGTAGTCATTGCATGAAATCAGAATTTTTGAGAGAAGAAGCAAGAATAATGCTACAACTTGAGGAAGAGAGAACACATATCACAAACCTTGGTCAATTCAGATTTTTTTGGCAAGGAAATCTCATTAGGGATTACATGAAGAGGCAGGGAAGAGAGACTTTTACTCTCATTAGTGATTATGTAAAAAAATTATGAATTGTGATTGGTATATGTTGTTCTAAAAATTGATAGATTGATGTGTGATTATTCAATTTTCGTGACTGAATTGTGGTGTAATATTATCCTTTTGTATACATAAAGTTTATGCCATTGTTGTATTTGTTGAAGGTTTGAACATAAATACTCCAAGAATCTATTAATCAAGGGTAGACTGCTTCAAGGTTCAAAGCATTGGGCAAACCATCTCAAGATCAATTTATGACAAGTTTCTTTAAAACTCGTAGTGCGACACACTTCTTCTAGACCCAACAAACGGGGGGCACGATAAGCCGCATAAATGATGGAAGCAAGTTCTCTCCATACTTCAAGCTGTTCAAGCAAGACCTACCATACATTAGCAACAGTTAAGTTCAATATAAGTGTCAGGGATAATGCTATCACAATTACCTATCAAATAACTTTTTCTCTTGACGAAAAGCTTTGTTACAAAATAACATTTCTTAGCCTTAACTATTCAATGAATGTTGCATGGGCACTAATTGAAATAGTCAAACCATTATCACGTTTGAACACATCATGCATTACTCATGCATAAACCATGTATGTGTTAGCAGCAAATCATGCATATCATTTCATGCATCATCGCATACTGCATACATAAAAGTAAATCTTAAATCTCATAACAAACCTTTATTGTTGCTCATTTGCATTCCTAGAGAATAGACTCAACAACATCAAAACTTATTGCATCTTGGCACCTATAAAGACTAGTTCTTGTCCAACAAATTCACAATCTCTTAAGCATCCAATGGATTTTGGAATCTCATTTGTTTCAGTCCGAGGATTTTTTGCTTTGTTATGAGGGTCTCTATAATGCATCTCATTATTACGAGGATTACCGTAACCAAATTTTCCATCTAAGGATTACCAGATGTCATCATTTTATTCTAAGGATTGCCATAACGCATCACATTGTTAGGAGGATTACCAAAACACATTTTTCCATCTGAGAATTACTATATGTCATCATCTTGTTCTGAGGATTGCTAGAATGTATTTCATGGTTACGAGGATTACCGTAACCTATTTTTCCATCTAAGCATTACCAGATTTCATCACCTTGTTCTGAGGATTTCCATAACATATCTCATGGTTACGAGGTGATCTGACCCGATCAGAAGGGGATCACGGGCTGGCCACACGCTGTCGGTCTGCTACCTGTTCACCGTTGATGAAGAGGAAAAAGGGGGGTGTACCTGCAAAACACTCTGATGCCAAAGTAAGGAGTTGGGCAGAGTGAGAGCAATGCACAGAAAGTGGGTAAGAAGTCAATTACCTGACCCTCTTGTGGAAGAGGGTATTTATAGAGAGACCCCAGCGCTGGGCCAACGGTCATTTTAGGTGGGCTGGATGACCAGGCCCAACCCTAATGACTGCTAAGGCTTACGTGGCGTAGTGAAGACCAGAATGTGGTCTTCGCCCTAGTCCAACTGTCCCGTGATCTCTGGAAAGTGGATTTGACCTGCTCTTTCGGAGGTGGGCAGTTGGGAGATGACGTGTCCCCAGCGGAGGGGAGCACGTGGAGAGCGTGCGCATGACACGTTGTTCTCCCCGCGGAGGGGAGCCCGGGAGATTCCCCGGGGGTCTTGCTCGATGGCATGGGAATACCGCCCGCAGAGGGCGGTGTTTGGTCGTGCGGGCGATTCTCTTGCCTGGCGTGGTTGGGACGGTTCTCCTTCGCGGGGAGATCATTCTAGCATGTCAGGGATCTTGTGCTCGACGCGGTACCCGGACCGGGCAGGGCCTGGTGGAACATTATTGGGCTGGGCCAGCATAGTTAAGCCCGGGGCCCAGTCCAGAACAGGAGCCCCCCAAGTCGTTGCTCTGAGGATGGGAGTGAGGACTTGATGACGTCGTTCCAGGGAAGTGGACTGGTCTGGGAAAAGACTCCCCGTGCGGAGACGCGCGTTTATTGTCGTCGGTCGGCCGGACTCGAAGGCGGGTATTGGCGGGGAGAGGTGAAGAGACGCGTCTGTCTGCTTCCACCACGTGTCGCATTCTGGGTGGCTGCTAGGGCGGCTACCCTAGGGTACTCAAGTTTCTAGCGACACTTCGAGTCCCGTGCAGGGGTATAAATGAGCGAGCCCCTGCTCATTTCTCACTTTTCGCCCTTTGATTCTCAAATTTCCAACCTGCTGTTCCGCCGCCGTCCGATATCACCGCCGTTGTCGCCGCCGCGTTCTCCGTCGTCGATTTTACCATAGTAAGTTTCCTTTTTCTTTTTCTCTTGCTTTTCTTGTTTGTTTCTTGAGCGTGGTCGGGGCCGATTGAATGCCCCGAGGAGCGGCGAAATCTCTGCCGTTCTTGGTGGTTTTTTAGGGTTTTTATCATGAATGCACCGGGGAGAAACGCTAGATCCGATGAGTGTCTCGGGGACGAAATTCTTTTCCGATGAATGTCCCGGGGAGGGTAGCCTTTTCCGATGAACGCCCCGGGGAGCGTTTTTTTACTCCGATGAACGCCCTGGGGAGCGACGTCTATTCTGACGGATGCCTCCGAGGTGGGTCTGTTGTTCAGGCCACACGGAACCGGGGAGGGGGTAGGTTAGGGCAGACCCACCGGGGACGATGCTCGGGGATTCCTCGTCGCCCTTTCACTTGACTTGCGGTGGAAGGGTGAATTTGATCTCTGTCATTGAATTCACTGTTACCTTCTGCTTTTCAGGGGTTTAATGACTACGCTCATCTTGGACGCTGTTGCACCCCAAAATTTGACCAACCGGTTCTCCTAGCTGGCCCATGGTTTAATTTCACGTTCGCATATCAGACGCATGATATTTGTGCACAAACAGAGGATATCAGAATTACAGTTTGGGTTCGTCTATCAGATATTTCAGATCCAGTCTAGGTCATCAGGTTTTTATTATTTCGGGAAATTGTGCGCTTCTCGGGATTTTCAGCTTGCACGGTGATTGGGGAATATTCTGAGGCCAGGGGTTTACTGGTTGATTTGATCTGGTCGCACGCTCTTTTATGTTGGTTATTGGCCTCTGTTTGCATTTCTAGGGTTTAATAGACTTTCGTGGATTTTAAATAGGCTTTTAATCATTTTTAGGATTTAATTGGATTTTTAAACTTTTTTAAATAGTTTAAGTCTTTTTCTAGAGCTTTATAAGTTTTTTAAGAATTTAAATAGGTTTTTAATTGGTTTAATAGTTTTTAAATCATTTTTTAGAATATAATAGATTTTAAAATTGTTTTTAATTGTTTTTAGATAATATAGAAAGAGTATAGTTTTTCTTCTTTTATTAATAATGGAGTTTGTTTTAATATAGATTTAATCTTTTATAGATTTTTATTTTATTAGTTTTAAATAGGATTTTAATAGTTTTTTAAATAATATTAGAGATTAAATAGAGATTAAATAGAAATTAGTAGAAGTTTTATTAATATAGGTTTAATTAGATTTTTAACCATTTTTAGATTTAATTAGGGCTTAATTAGGATTAATTAGGATTTGATATTTTGTTTAGATTTTAATTAGGGTTAATTGAATTTTCACTCAGTTAATGGTTTTTAGAATTAAGTAGGTTTAATTTCTGATTAGTGATTAATTAGGGTTAGTTTTAATTAGGTTAATTGAGTTTAATCTTTTTAATTCAGACTTTGTTGGCTTATTGATAATCAGTTTCGTGGGCCCAGTGTAGTTTTTGGAAGCCCAATCAAGTCCAATTCATTTTTTTGTCCATTTTTGTCCAGCAGATGACACATGTCTACTATATAACGTGCCACGCGTGTCAACGTGGGGACACCACCTCATTTCTCCAATTCACCAGGTCCCACCACGCCACACTTCAGACTCCCCCAGAACCTGACACGCGCCCCACTCACCACGT